CAGCTCACTTGACGGGGACTCCCCAGACCCTATAGGAGCTCGTCTGGTCTCCCACCTCTCTCACTGCGCGAGTGAGCTAGACCCTCTTCTCCTGCAGTCACCCCCAGCTTCCGCCCTGCCCTTCGCTCCTTGGCCATGGGCATCCTTCCCTCAAATCTCCCCTAACTCCCCAGCCTCCTCCTCCCCTCCTTTCCCCAGTGGGCGAAGGGATCTGGCCCTGCTAGGGAGCTACCCATCGCCCGCCTCCCTACGCCTCACCCCCCTGGCCGGGTGCCAGCAGGGTGCACCACAGCTCCTTGCACCTACAGCTCTTGCCACCGTCCACAGGGTGCCCTCCCTCGCAGCGTCTCCAGTCCTAGCCCCCTCCAGACCGCCACAGCCGTCTCCTCACAGCTCCAGCAGGGCCTCACCTCTACCTCTCTCAACCCCTTCCTCTTCCTCTCCTTCAACCTCCTCCTCTTCCACTTCCTCATCCTCCGCCCCTCCACAAGTCTCTTTCAGGCCCTTTGCACCTATGGGGTCTCCCACAGTCCAGCGCAGGGGCTTGAGCGGATCAGCCAAGGCGGCCCAAGGATGGGGGACTGAGATCGGTGCTTTTTGAGGGTCAGCTCTTTATTTGAGCGGACATGGACCTCCCATGTGCTCTATGTAGCAAATATTGGTTCCTTTGGAGAAAGAAGTATTCAACCTTTGATGATTGTTTCTGCTTCTAAAAAGCCATATCCGGTGATGGGTAAAGTTTCAGACGATCACAATCATATGTTACGGAACAAAGAGGGAATGTGAATGAGTAGCTCTGAATAAAGTCGTATTGTTGATTTTTGCTTGACAAATACACACAAAGAAGAGTGTCCACCAGAGCCATAATCACAGTAAAACACTCAACAGAGAGTGCGGTTGAGATTTTACTGATCCCAGAACTGTGATGTTTCTGTTTTTCCAAAACATTTATACTTTTGATCATGCTTTCTGAATGTTTGACAAAATTTCTATAAAGACCAAGTGCCTTTATCTCTTTGCTCAAGTTTTCTGTGTTTTTCTCCGATTATATCAGTAAATGCAAACATGTAACTGCAGATATGCCATCTGCTATCAATACAAATGGGAAAGGAATGGTTTAAAAAAAGAAAAGAAAAAAGACTGCATGTTAGGCGTTTATCCGTATATTAACTATGCCTGCAAACACTGCCTGCATGTTCCCCAGCCATAACCCACTTGGTATCTGAGCTGTTTCCAGTGACGGCTGATGGGAGCTGTGGTCTTGTGGCTGCAGAGGATAAACATGGTGGGAGATGGTGATGTTTTTGGGATGCCGCGGCGAGGCAAACAGGCCCATCACTTTGCCCTCTAATTGGCGGTCCCCTGTAATTAACTTTACCCTCGTATCAGTCTATGTATCTTCCTCTCCTCTGCTGTCTCTCTGCCATTCTTTCTCTCCAATCTTGCGGTACACCAGCGGATATCTTCTCTCCCTGTTTGTCTGCACCACTGTCTCCTCAACAATGGAGAGACAGAAAAGACGAGGGCGAAAAGGGAGGGATGGAGAGAGAGGAGAGACAGACTGAGAGAGGGGAAAACAAAAGGAAAAGATCTGAAGGGCTGTGGTTGAGTGACTGATTTGGTGTAGACGTTCAATAACAGGGTGGGAGGGAGGCAGGAGACAGGGTTACGGGGACTGCGAGGGTTTAAAAGGACAGGAAAAGAAGCAGTGTGAATCACAGAGAGTGGGCCAGCGTGTACGGGGTGCACGAGAAGCACCCGAAAGCTGATGAATGACACTTGCAACAAGCTTGTTTCTCAAAAACATCAGCATAATTGTGCCATGCTTCACCAAAACTGCTCTGCGGGGATGAGAGGGCAGAGAAGAGCCTTGTGTGTGTTTACTGCTGGGGAACGCTTTGATCTACTTCAGGATGCAATGTCTGTGGTCTGTGGTCCAAAAATGTGTGTGTTCCGCAAAGTGCATATTGTTTATTTGAGTGAGTGTGCTTTTGTGGGCTCGAGCCAGTCTCTTGCGCTTTCTTCTTTGTGTGTGTGTGTGTGTGTGTGTGCTTTGTTGAGTGTTTTGTTTATGCAGTGTGCATGGTCGTGTGTGTGTATGTGTTTGTGTAATGTGAGTATTCAGGGCTGGCGTCAGGACTGAACCGCGGTGACGGCGTGGCTCTCGTGCGATGCCGGCCGGCGGTCGGACCGACGGACAGTGTGGTGGTGGAATGTTTGTGGAGGGTGTACGCACACACATACACATATACACACACAGATACGCACTCAGGCATACAGACAACACACAACACAGACACACATAGGCTGGCTGGCACTATTCTAGCCCCTGCGTGGAGGAGCCAGAGTCACCACCACAGCTTCCAGGAAGGACAACCACAGTCACACTGTGCTGGGTTTCCCACGGGGGAGGGGAGAGAGTGAGGGTGGAGGGATGTGCAAGGAAGGAGGGAAGGAAACTTTGGAGAAAGAAGGAGGGAAATGCTGTGTGTATGTGAGTGTGCATGTAGGGCAACAGGACACGGTGCAAACTCAGTGAAGAAAAGAGGAGGGTTCAGCAAGCAGGAAGGATGGCCGAAACAAATCGGAGAGAGAACAAAGTAAACTCAGCCACATCAATGCATCACAGCTGATTTTTTTTTAATTACATGTCTATAGATATAATTTTCCAAGAATAGGAACATGGTTCATTTTTTGTTTGTCTGTGCCATAGACAGGGGAGTAAAAGCCAATCTTTCTAATGGCCAGCCTGCAGATGACATGCATGCATCACTATTGATTTTTTAAATTTTTATATAATTTTATATATATATAACTAAATATATGTGGCTAACATTAGCTTAGGCGACCCCAGCCCATTGTTACTTCTTAAGGATTTTGTGGGGCAGCTGTTGCACTCATTGAAATCAAATAAATCTGATTATCATGAACTCCAAGTGATAAATTCCTCCTGTCTCACCCCACATCTAATTTATCTGGGGTGAATAACTGCCTGTCAGCTAATGACGGACAAATACTATAAACAAAAGGCCCCAAAAACTCAACTTTAAATTTATCTAATGAACAGAAAATGAAATTTTTTGAAGGAAAATCAAACTGACAAGCGGACCGACTACAAACCAGCTGATAATGTAATAGCCATGTCCATCCTTACTATACAGTCTTTTTCCAGGCTAACCCTAACCCTCAAACCACTGCACCACCGTACTGTTCTCAGGCCCATGTTTTAAAGGTTTAAAGAAGCATTCGGATCCCCTGACGTTGTATAACACTATTACCCAATAGGGTTTACTTATTAGATAATGGTAGTGCTAGCATATAAATCTAACGTTAAAAAGATCACTGAAAATTAAAGTGATTAGCACATCCACTGGCAAGTAAATGTCCAAAGTCTATACTGAACACAGTATGAGCACCAGTGGTTTATGCAGTTAATTTAGTGACCTCTGCTGTCAAAACTACAAAGGTGCCAAAGCAAAGGAAGAACATGTAGGGACAAAGATTCATTTCCTTCTACCAAAACGTAATAAAACAAATAAACTGCACAATGCAAAAATTGATCATTTATAAACATATAACAACAAACATTTGTAAACAGTTAAAATTCATTAAAACAATGTTCATCCAGAATTGCCACCTTGCACGTATATTCTCTGTTCACGTCACTGTTTGTTCAGGATAGTGGACATTATATTTGTTGCATGAACTTTAAAACCACAATTTTAGCTGATTTTATATGAACATAGTGCTGTAAATTTAAAACAAGACGGGTACATTTACTAGAACAGAGAGAAATGTGTGTATCTGGGAGTATTTGACTGTTAACACTGTTAACGCTGAGTCCCGTCTGGACTGCAAATTTTCTCTTGAGATGTTAGGATGCCAGTAAACATGTTCTTTCTTCATCCATGGCGTAAAGTATTCACTTGAGGTTACAAACATCCGCCACAAGGTGGAAGCATTGCAAAGAGGAGTGGTTATTCTTTACAAATTTTGCCATCTTGGTCTATGGTTTGTGTCATGTTTATTTAAGCTGGAGGTGGGCTTGCTCTGCAATTATCAGGCAATATTTTAAAGAGGCCGGTGTATATGTTTATGTAGCTGTTGGTGTTAGAGATCATGTGGCTAGAGACTGCCATGTCCTCACATGTGTAGAGATATCCCATTATGATTTGGTGGTCTGGGCTTGGCATTAATTTGCTTTGTTTCTCCTTTGTTTTCTCGTTTCTTTTGTAGCCAGAGCCACTGCCAAATGCCCTGTACATATTTTCCATAGTATGTTTTTGCTTTTTTCTCCTTTCTGAATGTTCTCTGTATGTCATTAAACTGCTGTAAGAACCCCTTTTATTGTGTCTTGTGTGGCAACTAATTACCCGGGCAGAAGTTTTGGGAGCTTGTTGGGGCTGGAGCATGTACATGTGTGTTAATGCAAAACCATAATCCTCCCAGGAGCAGAGATTCCAGCAAATTCGCCCTAAACACAGAAC